TTTCAGTTAAAATTAACCCATCAATAATTTACTTAACTTATCAAGTCCACATCTTTTCTCATACACTATACAATTTCCTTAATTTAAATTCAACATTCTATATACCTTTGTCTTCTAAACTGATCACTGATGTACACATTCTTAAACTCTTCCAAAGCAATAATCCTATCACTTGCTCTTTTACTATTTTCCAGATAACATCTATTCCTCTACTTTTCTTTAAAAAAATGGAAATCTTCTAACACTATAATTTCCCATTCATCTGAAATAATTAGTGCTCCCTTTTTTATTTCACAATCCATATTTACATGATAGCGATATAACATTTCCATTCCCAGTATCACTTCAAATTTTTCAGAAGGTAATTTCATCATATTAGTAGGGAATTTAATTCCCTGAACCCGTAAGAAACACCCTTGACACACTCTACTAACCCGAGCATTGTGTTCTAAAGAATTGATCACTATCACATCATTACCATTAATTTCTAATTGTATTCTCACTTCTTTCACCAATTTACTACTAATACATGAATATTTAGACCCCATGTCCATCAACACCATAACACATTTACAATATAATAGAAAAGTACCTGAAATTATCTCTGGATCATCCACATTTTCCACAGTCTTGAGATTATATACTCGAGCAGTGGAGCGAACTTCATGCTGAGTCGAGGATTCTGGTTGATTTCTGCATCTTCCTCTACTTCTTCCGCTCTGAGACATCGGAGCAGATCGCTCCAACTGCACAGGCTCTCCTGTCCCCAATGGACAATCTCTCATCAAATGTTCGGTTTCCCCACATCGAAAACAAGCTTATGATTTAACTCTACATGTCCCACCACGATATCTTCTACAAGTCTAACAGTGTCTTTGTTGTTCTCTTCCATCACCCGACCTTACTGATTGAGTCTGTCTAACTCTCATCTAACTTAATCCTCAAACGGAGGATGTCATCGATTCAGACCTTACTTGGGATCGAAATTCAGAATCTATGCCTCTCTTGGCTGGTGCAGAACTTGATGAAGTCCTAATTCTTTTAGACTGTTGGGCTCTTTGCTCCCCAAATCGTTCATTTTGAGCTCTTTCTAGAGCTTTAGCACGATTTACTTCCTCTTGAAACGAGGAAAAATTCAGTACAATTAACATCTCCTTTAGCCTTGGGCGTAATCCCTTAATGAACCACTCACATGCATCTTTCTCTGTAGGTACCAATTCTGCTGCAAAACAACTTAATTTGTCGAACTCATACTCATAATCATACACTATGCGGTTCATTTGCTTCAGATTCAGAAATTCTTGATTCATTTTTTTATGAACTGGTCTCCTATGTACTTATGTTTAAACTCTTCAAGAAACAAAGACCATGTCACCCAATCACTAGTCATCCTCAAAGTGACATTCGTCCACTAGATTATCGCTTGCCCACGAAGCAAGGAGACTACTCCATTTAGTTTCTCCATATCAGAACAGTGGAGTCCCTCTAACATGATCTTTACATCGTTGAACCAAAGGTACGCAGCAACATGACCTTCCTCGACTTCACCTTTGAACTCTGGAGCTCATAATCCCTTTAATTCTTTTGCAACATTCATCCTCTGAGTTGAGGAGGCAGAAGGTTGGAAACGCGCTAATATCGCGTCTAACGTCATGAAGAACACATTTTGATCATGCACAGGCACTCCAGAGGGTGCATGTCCTTCACCTTGCCTGGCCATGGTAGGTGAATTACTGCTCTTAGCTAATCTATCATCTCCCGCTTCACTTCGGGAGCTATCTTGTCCGGACATCTAATAAGATATAAACAAATATTGCTATCAGCAAAACAACATACTCTTTAGTCTTATCAGATAATAAGTTCTTACTACTATGTTGGCATGTGCACTTTTTAAGACACTCTAGACTCCAGTTTATACCAAGAATCGGATAAACCATAGCTTTGATACTATTAAATGTAATACCCCCAACCTGTATCTGACCTGGATCCGAGTCTGAGGTGTCACATTGACTTTTCAACCATGTACATTTATAAAAATTCTGAGAAATTTAAACTTTTATTAATATAAAAGTTATCAGTACATACTAAAGTTCAAACCATTACAAACTTGGTCAAAGCGTGCGTACTTAACGACTCTATTTACATGCCAACATTCCTATTACATAACCAAAACATACTGTGGAAAGTACTTCTGATATGATCGTCACATAGAGATATGCTGCTCTACTGCTCCTAAAGTTGATCTTCTTGTTTCCCGGTACCTACGTGTAAATCACTTACACACTAAGTCATAGACTTAGTGTGACATAATCATATAATAAATAATTTCTATCAATAAGAACATGCAATCTATTATTCAATTGCAATTATGTTCATTAAATCATAAATCAATCATATAATATATATGAATCAATATCATGATGATACCATATTAATATACAATTATGTACATAATTTTATGTCCTTTATAAGCCCATGTACACTATGGAGAACTCAAGGTATACGAGTACTATGAGGTTGTGTAGACATATGTTGTTACCACAGCTCGTATAAAATCCACTAAGTGGCATATGAAATCTATGTCCTGAAGGACCTATCCATATGTTCCGAAGAATATAGGTAATTATCCATATGTCCCGAAGGACATAGGTAAACTATCCATATGTCTCGAAAGACATAGGTAAACCTCGACTCTTGGCATGCCAACTATACCTATAGCTCTAATATCATATAACATGTAAATATTAGCTGACCCTTATTCCCATATGTAATGGGGTAAGGGGGAGGTAGGATAGTAGATTGCCCCCAACGCCAGGTTGAGAGCAGTTTCCGTAGGAGACCTCCGAATTATGAAATGCCCTCCGTGGGACTCGATCCCACGACCTCAAGGTTAAAAGCCTTGTGCTCTATCAACTGAGCTGGATGGTCATTTCTTTATATTAGCTGACCCTTATTCCCATATGTAATGGGGTAAGAGGGAGGTAGGATAGTTGGCTGCTCCCAACGCCAGGTTGAGAGCAGCTTCCGTAGGACCTCCGAATTATGAAATGCCTTCCGTGGGACTCGATCCCACGACCCCAAGGTTAAGAACATCTATCTCATATCATGTAATATGTAATCACATGTTTCCTTTAACATACTTTATATCTTGTACTCATATAATCATATCACTTATACTTTCTCTTTCATATATCTCACGTCATATCATTCATAATCACATAACTTTAACATAGATAAGTAATCTCGTGTATCCTATAAGTAAATACTATCGATTTGGTCCCACTCTTCCATTTACTCATATAAATAATTTCTATTAATTCAATTTTACATAACTCTTATATTATAGTTTCCTTTGAGTATGAAATTCTTTCCTAAATTAATTATCTTACAATTTTGTATCATCTATTATTTTCAAGTATCCTCATTAATATACTATTTTAATTTAGTATATAATTTTATTATACGGATTCCTATAATTGATCACATATATCATTTAGCATGTGTAATCATCTATCATATAACTTATTTGTATGGTTCAATTCCTATAAACTTCTCATATGATTTCCTATATTCTTTGTGCTATACTTTATATCACATAAAAACCCTACATATTTTAGATCATAATTCCATTTATACAATTCCTTATATCTCTATTGTCGTTTATCATGTCACATAGATTCCATACATTCACCTATATTCATACATCCATATAAAATATATATATAATCACATATCCTCATATCAATCACATGATCATATTTATGATTCATGTATACTACTATAGGAAATAGACTCATCGCGAGTCTTATTTCCATTCATCATACATCACTAATACGCACTCACCTTAGCCTTGTTTGAATTGAATCGATATCTACATAATTATACATTGATACATATCAGTATTTCAAAAGGGCATACTCTAATCTTTCATTTCTCAAACTAAAGAAAATGTGAATTTCATTTCTTATTTAAAGTTGGTATCGGTACCCTCTATAGGGTATCGATACATCCCTTAACTGAGGCATCGGTACCATACCTAGGTATCGATACACATATTGCATTTTGTAATTTTTATTTAAGATGGTATCGATACCTTCCTCAAGGTATCGATACCCCTGGGTACCGATACTGTTCTTCAAGGCATCGGTACCCCTTGAATATTTTCCTGAATTTTACTCTGGAGGTATCGGTACCTGTTGAATGGGTACCGATACCCCTTGCCCAAAATTCACATTTTAAGCAAGAAAATTCACTCAATTTCTCACAAATACATTATGTTTCAACCCTTTACATATCCATAACTCATATACACATGCTTAAACCCGTTTCTACTCATTAATCACATCTTAAACCTCAAAATCTTATCATCCATATGAAATCCAAGAATCATACCCAAATTCTAACATGTTTCAAATCCAATTCTCACACTTCATACATGTTAATTAAATTGATGACAAGTCAAATTCAATCTCAACTTAATTAAGGAACCCTCTTTCATTTTTTCACTTATTCCCCTCTTTTCTTTAATTCCCTCTATTTTCTTCATCTTATTGTTTCAAGACAATTTAAGCTCTCCCTAAGCTTTCTTAATAATAAAAACTCAACCTTAAATTTAACAAGAAATCAATTAACCAGAAACTCACATTTGACCCTTTACTTCCACACGTGAAGAAGAAAGGAGAAGAGAATTTTGGAAACTCACTTAGTTTTCCTCTCCCCCCACGTGATTAATATATATATCCATACTTAATTATTTTTCTTGCAAATGACCATTTTGTCCTTCAATTCTTTCCTCTTAATAATTTATCCTACACAATATTTTCATATAAGTCATTGAACTATTCCATTATTTTACTTTATCCACTAAATTCTGAAATTTAACAATTTGGTCACTAACCCGGTATTGAGGATGTTACAATACCGATACTAATACTTGATTAAAAGGCACTGATATACATTAAACAGTTGAATATTACAGAAAACACAATACAATGTTGTCTTCAATATTGCATGCTGCCTGCACTTGAAGAAACCTCAGTGATATTACTGCTCCAACTTGAAGAAGAAGAAGATGACTCGGCTGTTATGCCATCTTTTTCTCTCATAAAATCAAACAATTTTGGCTTCATCTTATGAATCAATGCCTTTGGTTTTTTCACTTTTTCGTTACTATTGTTACAAAAAGTCTGCATAATCTCCTCCTCATCACTACTCTTCTTACCTGTTTTCTTCAAGAATACGTGGCACAGAACCCACTTTTCCATCTCATGATTCAAATAATTCTGGTTGTTTGATAGAGTAAATAGGCGATATTCATGCATGATCCAATCAGTTCTTGATCCATGTGGAGGCTTCCCCATGTGGAAAACTAGGGATTTTCTCATCCCTCCTTCTTCATTTCTCCTTGATATGATTTGCTTATCGGGACCGGTTGCCTTCCAATATCCCGAAGCAGTCGCTCGGTTTATCCGGTTCCCGGTTCGATACTTTGCTTCCTTCGTGCTGAAAAAATACTTCTCATCCTCCATCTCACCTACAGAAGAAAATCTTTTACATTATTTCGATTCTTCATTTTTTTTCTGAAGTATTCTTAGATATATGCATATAAATATAACTGTCAAATGCATTAGAAACATTTCCTACTACGAAGAGCAAATTCCATAGGAGTTCTCGTAGTTGATATTCATATTGGTGACCTCATATCCGTATTCATACAAGAATAGAAACTAAAACAATTCGGACTCGAGTATAAGTATCGATCTGTCACGAATATATTTAATCACCCTCCATAGATAATGCATGCAAAGCTAGAAAAGAGCTTACCAGGCAGATCCCAGGGATCAAAGTTGCAGACATTGAGGTCAGGGATGATGGAGGTAGGCAAAGGATAGGAGAAGACCTTGCATTTCAAGTACTGAAACACCAGCTCTTCGTCGGTCGGCTGGAACCGGAACCCCAGCGGCAATTTTTTCAGTCCATTCAGCGTCAGATTGTTCATATCCTTCTTTAAGTCAATTAGTACCCCCTAAATCTTCCCTTTCTTCTGCTGCAAGATTAGAGGTCAAGCAATGGCCACTAAATGTCGAAAGCATTTATAGGGCCAAAAAGATGAAGGATAACACAACAGTGGTCCATCTGTTATCGTTAAAGTTTATCAAATCAAATTAACCCATATTTTATTAAATAAATCAATTTTCTTGACTTCAGTCAAATAATAATATAATTTTTTTATTAAATTTAAATCGAATCGAGTTTATATCAGTTTGATATTCTAGTAAAACCAGAATTCACACAGGCGTTTCTTTTTTCATGGAAGATTTTTAACGTGTTGGCCCTTCTAAATTTGATAGCATGGTCATTAATTTTGTTTGAATTAATTTATCATTTAAGTATAAATAAAATATATCCTCATGTGTGTATATATATACGAGTCTTAGAAAGTTTCTTAATGTGTAAGTTTCATTAATTTGCTATTTCTATGTTAATTAATCTCCCCATTTTCTCTACTTTATAAGGGGCAGTCGAAGCTTTCATCTACCTTTTGTTCTAAATAATAGCTTATCATCATTTTATTTTAGCTTTCCAACTTTTAATCATTTTATTTATTTTAATTATCAACCTACCTTATAAGTAGGGTTTAAATTACATTTAATATAATAGAAATATATAAAACCAATGCATGGCAGTGTTAATTTCGTTTATAACACTAACGTGATATTTTAAAGAATTTTTCCTCTTTTTTTTTTTAATTTGAGGTGGTTAGTTAAATTAGAGAAAATAAACCAACAAAAAAAAGGTATTGCTTTTGTTTTAGATTTGAAGAAAAAGAATAAAAGAGACATTGGAGTTTTGTGCTTTTCTTCGTAACGAAGAAGTTTATCTTCGCTCTTTCCACGCATTGTTGTTTCAGAGATCAAAAACTCAGGGACTGTTTGCTTGTCTCTTAATGGAACCATTTAGCGTTGAATGTTGAACCGTTCAGTATTTAGCGCGTTTGTTTCGCACCTCTGAATGATTCAGTGCTGACTGATTCAGCAAAACAGTGCTGAATGATTCAGCACAGAAGTACATTCTGAATCATTCAGAGCCAGTTATCAAACAACTTGTCACATTCAGAATCAAACCATTCAAAGCCTCTGAATCATTCATCATTTGAATCATTCAGCGCTTAATCATTCTGAAATAAACAAACAGCCAATCAGCTCCTAAATTTAGTATTTTATATTATTAATATTTAATATTTATTTGTTTTAATAGAATATTTAATATTTATTAAAGCTATGTACCGTTCTTAACTTATTAATGTTAAATGGAACGATAATAACAGATGAATATTTGGGTTAATTTAATACGATGAAATGATAATTTTTTTATTTAAATTTAAATTTCGTAAATAAAATAAATTGAATTTAGAATTACACTATAAAAGTGAAATATAAAAGCACAATCCGAAACCATGATATGGGTAGGAAGATTCTTGAACCCAAAGAATGAGGAAAACCAAGTGGGCCAGATTTAAAAGCAATACTGTTGAAAATACATGGGCCTAACTACTAATCATTCCATGTTATTAAAATTGCCAATGATTTTTTATATATATAATTTTTAATTTAGTTTTTTACTATTTGAATTTTTTATTTATAAAAATATTTATTAATTTATATATATATATATATTAAAAAATAATTATTTAAAAATTTAATTATATAAAAAATATGATCTTATCATCTATGCATTATTTAATTATAGAAGAGAAGAAATAAGAGTAAAATGCGAACGTTTAAGCATCGATCTTCATAAAAAAAAATTGACCGGCGATGGACAGTGCTTGACTGCTGGCAGCAACCGAAAAGTATAGCATTCAAAAAGAAAATTGTTTAAAAATTTAGTAGTAAAATCGATACACAATTAAAATTTAGTGTCTAAAGCGACGTCGTTTTGGACATTATATCAATCACATCAAAACACGACCGTTTTATTGATTCAACGGTAAAATTTATAATTAAATGTTAAAGTTAAAATTTAATGTTGTAATTGATAAAAATAAAAATTTTAATGATATAAATCAGTGGACTTAAAAAAATTTAATAATATATAGTTCCTTGTTTTTCAACGATTGAGCAGAAACCTAGAGTGCAATTACTGGTGTGTGACGCAACTTAATGGCCAATACAAAACCTTGCTTATGTGTTATATCATCCTTTTAGGACGTGAATATTTGTTGCCACTCTGGTTGTTACATATGGACAAAGGAGGATCATTCATCCAACTTTGTTCTTTCATTTTCTGCTCCTTTTATTTCCTTTTATCATCAAACAATACCACTACCATCCTCGGTATCTTGCTATAAACATATTCCATCTTTTGTCTGTTTTTCTTTCTTTTGGTAATTTTGGGGACGAGATTTAATGTTCCATGTCGGGGGGAGGTGACAAGTGTCATGCCTCCCTTTGCTCCTATACTCCAACTTTATTATATTATGTTAATCTTTAGCACAAATCAAACCACTGTCATAAAAAATTGTTGATATTCATTCAAATTTTGAGTTTGAATATCGAAAATGTGAGTGGTGTAAACGTTTAATGTGAAATAATTTAGAGTTATCTTTGAACATATATTAAATTATAATTACCCGAATTAATAAAAAAATTATGTTAATCTTAATATTATTAAACTTTTACTTTTTTTATATTGAGTAAAATTCAAGATTTAAATTCGGATTTCACAATGTATAAATTCGCTGAGTGAATTTGAATCATATTTATTTTAATTTATATTTCACGTATATATGTTAGTTTTTTAGCAATAAAACATTATTTTTTAATCAAAATAATAATATCTCATAAGTTGAGTGCAAATAAACACATCATTGTAAAAAGATTTAGCGTGACCCAATTGTTTAATAACACATAGAAACAATATTTCATGCTACTTATATGAAAATCTTTAAAGCTTTCTTTATAAGTCATTAGATATTATTGAATTTATTTTATTTTTTACTAAAAACATTTAGGTCAAAAGTAACTCCCTCGTTCTAGGATTAATATATATCTATTTATATTTAGCATCAAATTTCCCTCAAAAACCATTGTAGTTAAAGGCAAATTATTTAATGCATTCTGAATCTAAGTTGAGGTTAACATTAAAGCATGGATATTAAGGATTAATTTGCACTACATTTCTAAAAACGGACCTCCTACTTAGTTACATAAACAGATTCATCCACTCCATGCCAGGAATATTGTAACTGTTGTCTGCCATGTAGAAAGCTTCTTCATATCCTCCAAATTCACCCAGTAAATGTGTATCCATGGCTTCCATTGTCAGAGATGAGATTGGACTATTACTCGCTCCCCCATCTACTCGCTCCCTCAGCCGTTGGATTTCCTTCTCCGCTTCACATAGCTTCTCTTTAAGCTTGATAACCTAAAATTAATTGAGTTAAAAACAATATTCATGAATTTTTAAAGTGTAATTTGTGTAATATTTTATACCTCCGATTCAAGACGGCATTTCTCGAGGACAAAGCCGTCGTGGGCCGATTGCAGCTTGCTGAGCTCTTCCACTATCTTCTTGTTCTTCCACCGAGTACGGCGGTTTTGGAACCAAACTGCAACCTGACGAGGATCGAGTCCGAGTTCGGAAGCAAGGCGCTCTTTCTTTTCAGACTCCAGTTTATGTTCATTGCCAAAATTAAGTTCGAGAACGTCAACTTGTTCCTGGGTGAGTTTCCTTTTTCTAAAACCTGAAAGGCTGTTTTCTCCTCCTTTGTTCTTCTTCCTCCGCCGTCGAGGCTTCGATTCCGCTGCTCATCGTCAACAAAAAATCTTGGGTTAACTTAAGCTTATAACTTTCTTTACTAGGTAAATTCGGATATCCATATTTTAAAATATGCGAACACAATTATAAAATAAGTAACCTTGTTGAGGTGCAATTTGAGAGTATACACCAGAGTATAATGGGGAGATAAGAGCCATTTGATCTTCCTGCTTATTCATTTGTTCTTTTTTCTTCTTCTTCTTCCTCCTTTCTTTCTTTCCTTTTTTTTTTGTTTTAAATAGCTGGTTACATTAATAATAATAGCGTGAAACAACAAGATGACAAACTCAAACAAAGAACACCCAAACGCAAAAAACAAACATACCAGCTATCAAAACTAGAAAACTCGGAGTGTAGCAGATCTGTAAGTAAAATCTATCCAAGAGAGACAAAGCTAAGAGAGTTTCAAACGCTCCCTATCCTCTTCAGCAGCGACAGTTGTGCCCGGGGAGCTTCCTCAACCCAGAATCTCTGTTCACTGTGCATCCAACCCTCACGAGCAAGGACGTGAGCAACATGGTTAATATGAGTGATGAATGCCAAGGAAGTGAATGTGTTAGGAAGCAACATGGTTTATTTATAGAGTTTAGTAGGACTTAAGTAGTTGTTTTTTCTTTCTTTAACTACCATCATTGTACCAAATATTCCACTTAGGTCTAATTTAGTATTGTTATTGTAATTCAAATAAATGACACTGAAATTTCATAATCTCATTTCTCCCTTCTTTTTATATAAAATATTATAGAAAAACAATTCTATAAGATTCTCTAGAATGATTGTGATCCCCAATATGAAATTAGGTATTAGATTAGGGTTTCCTAGTTACACTAATTAAGAGAAAAAGTTACATTATAAGTTTTAACACATGTTACATGTGTTGAGGTTATTTTTATTTTATATGAGTACGTATTTTATAGTGAAGTGTGATAATTATTTATTTTGTGATTATGAAAGTGGTGTCGAGATTTATTAAATATTTATACAAAATTATGAAATGTTAGAAAGAAAAAGAATTTCACGTTATCTGAGAAACAACAAGGTGAGAATTTATATATATATATATATTTTATGTAAATCTGGATAAATATAAAAAAGTATTTGTTCAAATACTTTTACATATTGTACAATAAACATTCATATCATTGATTATGATTGTAAATGAGACGAGATATGTTGTGAGCTACTCGAGATCAACTCAATCAAAGCTTGATAAATACTAAACTAGAAT